ATTCTCAAGGTTGAGGATTTTGGTCACTCCAAACCTCTCGGGATATTCCCTAACCTCTCATACGTACAGCGCTGCCTCATTATGTGTCAACACACCACTTACCCAAAATGACCTTTGAAATGCCTCAGTTCAGTCTCTGTGACTTCGGTATGTAGTGGCTCACGATCCCGGGTAAAGGCTCCCCGTGCAGCTCAGCGTTACTGCTGCAGGCTACTCAATTTACGGTGTGGTTTTTGTTCTAATGGTATCACTTCTTAATTACTTTTCCTTGACACCTATGTCTAATGACAAAAATGTCTTCCTTATCAATCTGTGACCTGGTTTTGACGTAAACGTTCACAGGAGAGAACCTTTACGTCTTTGACGAACACCCTGATGCACTGTAGACTCCTGCGATGAAGCCAGAAAATGATGAACACTTTGCTACATGAGGAAATTTGATAAAAACATCCAGAGGGCGATAACGCAGACAGAACTGAATTGTTGATTTGCTGTGCTTGCAGGACATTCACATTCAGTGTCATCTGACGATTTTCGCAGGTGCGTTATCCACAATTATACTTTTTAAGGCCCTGATTCCTCACATCTACTTTTTACAGATTTGGGTGTCACAGCCAAACATGCAAAAAGAGGCAGAGCCTTGAAATTGTATACCAAGGTCTAAACCGTCGAAATAATCTCATTAAAAAATACTGCCTTTAACGGCTCAATACTACAGGAGTTCATGGCTCAAGCATAATATTTCTGGCTCAACTTGGACGTCTTAAACTGACAAATTTGTAGATAGGTAAGATAACATGTGATCCCTAAAGGGTTAGGATATTATGGACAACTGATTTCAGGTGAGCTTCTAGATTCAGACCAAAGGTTGCAAATATATGAGTAACTAGATAAATTTCCGTACGGTTTGGTCGGGGTATTGCGTAATCAAATACAGTTAAGGAAGGTTGCACCATCTTGAGTCCGGCCTTCACTATGTCTAATCACCTTTAGGAAAAACAGATTTGTAATTAAAGATTGCTTTCTCCACGGGTGTATTCTTTGCTTACTCAAAATATTTCACGTCAAGCGCCGGGACAATAACGTAATCATCTCCACAGTATGAAAGTATTTTTGAAAAGTACAAGAGTGGTTGGAAGTATTCCACGAATTGATGAAAAACGTTTTAATGTGTACGAAGACTTTCATCTTTATAAGGTGCAGCTCGGTAGCCACAAGAACACACCAAGGATAGCAGTAATCTTACAAGCAGCTTTGGTCATTTCTCGACTCAAAAATTCTTATTAGTTCTATTGAAAAAGCCTATCTATGGGGTATCAAGCCTACACATTACTGAGTTCAGGACTTATGACCATTACAAAATATTACTCTCCAACTTCCACGCATTTGCTACAGTCTAAAGTGGTCTGTACACTCAGATTGTAGCTCATGTGACAGTGTCGTCGCCTATAGATAACTGAACGTGATAATGATAATGCGGTCTGTAGAGTAAGTTTATGCAAGCCTTGTCAAGGTCAAGGGTTAGTTACTGTTGAGCTGATAGTCTCTCGACATTAGCCGAAGAATTTGTGACCCAAGAACAGAAAGAGTAATTTGAAGAGCGGGAATAACAAATTCAGCCGGTGTTACGCGGCTGACCGCTTTTTCCAATATACAGCGCACCGTCTACTCCATATTCTAAAGGGAATATCCTCTGTCAGCAGGATTAAATGGGTTCTTTGGTGCGACGTTTTTTGAAAAAAAAACACAGGAGTCGGACGTTTGAGAAAGTTTGAGTCACTAATGGAACAGAACCACATTCTCCGTCATACCTAGCAGAAAATGTGAGAACCAATGATATTTTGCCGATCTACGTCTCTAAATGCAAGAACTTTCCTCCGCCTCAAACTTCAAGGTTAATCCCTGTTAAGTTGGTGCACCTGTATGCGACTGATTTTATCACTCTCTGGCTCTCTTGAAAGCCAAAAACCCATTCAAACCTAGCTTTTCGGTTTCTTCTACCGTGTATCCCTGTTTTCTGACATGAACATAAATCAGCTGATTAAGCGGATAACGCATTACTTGTGGAAAAGAAAACTGCACATGATGTGCAACTAATAAAATCGCAGCCCCTCCCCAAACCGCGGTATTTAGGCACAAGCAAACCTTATGTTTCGCCAAAGATCCACGCTTTTACTGACTCAGATTGTTACAAATGAGCCCAGCGATTGGAAGGAATGTTAAAGCATGTTTAGGTGAAGTTGGTGACCATAATCGGTGGATGAATTCGTAACTCTGTTGAATTCATTGCCACTTTTCATTCTCTATTGTGTTAGGTTCACATTCAATCATTATTTACAACCGTTTTAGCGCAGACAGTAGATTTTCTTTATGCTTAATAGCTTGTTTTAACATCAGCTCAGTATTTTTCTCATTTATCAGGAACAATGTCTTATTTTGTACCCAAAGTATTAAATACAGTCGCCAAACTGACGGTCTTGGGAGGAACAGTCAGTCCATTTGGCATCATTCTTACCATTGAATTTCATGACATACGTATACGTCGCTTCAGTTATACAAACGATACTTAGGTGACGTTGGTGTAGCTGCTGAGCAGCGCCCACAATTGGAGGAAATCCTTTCCGCCCCTAAATAACGTTGTTTAGGAAAATCAAATACCTTGCCTTCCTGGACCATATGAAGCGATTTGCTGTTTGGTCTGTTGTAAAACTAATTGGACAGAAGGATACCAGAAATTCTATATTTTGTCCAATACGATACAATTAGAAGGACCACTTGTTTGTAATTTGTTTCAGACCAATCTGTAAATCAGACACACATGACCACATAGAAACCGTGAAGAAGACCGTAATCCGGAAAGGATAACTGTTTTGTGCTTCGCGAACGTACAACAATAACGTTTTTCTCCCGGAAGCGGATTCATTGCTATCAATCACAAAAACTTTGACTTCAACTTCCGTTTACTTCTTTAACTTGAGTTGCGGGAAATTATAGATGGGAGAAACTGAAAGGAGACGTAAAATGAAGACGAAAGAGCGCTTTATTGGTGTATTTAGCGAATGTCATTCCATGTTTAGCCGGATTCACTCCTCATCTGTCGCCAAACATCTAATCACCCGTGACCACCGGGGTGAAATTTCTTCAGCTTTTAGAATCATGACGACAGGTGCGGAACCTCGCTTGGTGTTTAATGAAAACAAGGTTTTCGTTGAGTCTTTGTCCATAAACTAACCTGAAGCAGGCATTGCGTCCACCTCGGCCCTTGTGACCCGGTTGGAGATTATGCACTTTTCAGCTTGCGTTTGAATTTTGAACTCCCGATGTTGCCTCATGCGCTTAGTTATCATCCCGATGTTGCTCATGCGCTTAGTTATCATGTCGCATGCTAGTTTGAATGCTCCTTTTCTGTAATCATGTTGGTTCATCTTCTCACACTTTATCCAAGAATGTTTGACTACTTGCTCATGTCTTGGAACTATGCGAACACACTAAATTGAACAATCCACCCAATTGTCCCGATTCTTCCACAGGAGACTTATCAGTTCTTTCGGCCAGACTGTTATCAGAATAAGAGTTGGCGGGCTATTTTTTTCAACGACAAAGCAGGGTGCCTATATGACCCCTAATATATCCGCTCACCACAACTGCGACAATAAAAATGCGTTCAAGTCCGTGTTTACTTGTGTTTAGTCTCGCAGCTGTCTGCATCACTGGTTTTGCCGAATTTTGATTGTATTTTACAAGCCTTCTGAAGTGCCGTTTCAACTTATTTAAAGGTTACTGAACAGAGCCTTGTCCCTGTGATGTTCTTACGCCTCGGTGGATCTAGACCAATGATGGTCCATTTGGTTTCTAGAGGTAAAAGTCTGCGTCATCATCGTCAGCAAAGTCAGCGTTGACACTGATACTTCACTTTCGTACATCCAAAAATTTCAACTACACCTAGGGCCTTAAGCCGAAAAGAAGAACGCTTCGACCGATGGGCCGAATATTTCAAACGGCAATTCTCGTGGTTGTTAGTCACAACTCATCGTTTGCCTAAGAGAGTGCTGTTTTCCATGCCCAATTTAGAGTGACGGAAGCAGAGAAGTGGCCAACACTTGGGTTGGTCAAGAGTCGCCTTCTAAGGTAAAGACCGCTTGATAACCACCGTGCCTAGTTGGAGGTGCTGTGAGATATGGCTGATGATCGATTTCAGTGTCTTCTTGTTCTCAGCTTCTATCCAGATTGTCTGAATGAGTGTCTGGAGGTACAAGCACCTCAGGATGATTGTAATAGGCTGGCACCAAGTCCCTTCCCCGTTCAGTTTTCACCATGAAGCCTTCAAATAAATTATGGTTGTACACCAACGAAGCATTTGTTTTGAACACCGATTTTATGCTTTTGATGGTGCTAATGAAGTGAGGGTAACAGAAAAGAGTGAGAGGGATCTGGTGCTGGATCATCGCAAGCGTTCATAAGTGCTTACACTTGCAAGCTCTGGAAGGAAATTGACCGTACAAATGCCACTTACATCGATTAGCTACGTGTTGATGGAATAGCGTTATCTGAAATAAGTTTGATCTGGCGCGTCGGCATCAATTCGTGATAGGAAAGTAAACTGACTCTCTCCCCCAAATTGACGTGCGGCCTTGGGTTTTTATAAAGGCTTAAAATTTACAGACGATTGAAGGAAAAAGGAATGAAGACAGATAAACAGCAGTCTGGGGGACATCGTGGGACACCACGTTATATCTTATGTAACGGACAAAATTGATTCACACGTGATTTAGAGATGTAGTTTTCAAGACAGAAATTGTCGGCTGATTGCAGAACTCAAGTGGGGAATTGAACACAAATAATCTGAATTCAAAGCCTCTACCTTATCTAGTGAGGAAACCAGAATTAGGTTACCTAAGTGGGCTGTTCCCGAGCCATTCTATAATTCTGAACTACGGCTAACCGATTTCTTCCGTGGAATTTGCAGCAAACAACTTGACTACCATTCCGTCTCTAACCAAACCCGGTTTATTGATACGCACTTGTTAACACTGCAGGTGGCCGTTGACTGAATCGCCCTATTTACAGGTACAACAAATGCAATGTATTTGGTAAAAGGACAAACACGCGCTGGCTTCTTTATTCGTTCATAAAGTCGTATTCTCTTTTGTTTTTCATGGTAACTTCCAGAACCTCTTTCTTCTCATCCCAATCAGCTTTGCTCAAATTTGGATCCACTGTGTTGGGCAAGTGGAGACCAAGTTTGCTGAAAAAGACCAATAAAATGAAGTTGAAGTAATGAACTGAATTTTTCATTAACAATTTGCAAAAGCACACGGTAGTTGAGTAAGGAAAACAACTGGTAGTAATTGCAATCAGACTCCAACATAGTAGTAGTATTTTCACAGGACTAGGTAACTTTCCCGTTAACAACCGGGATAACGATCAGGTCACCCAGTGATAGACTGTCCAACAAACCAATTAAATGCCAAGAATGCGGAACCCAAAGCACCGCAAACCGCAGATAGACCTGCAAAATCCACGTAAATCTGTCATCGGTTGGCGAGACACAATGTGCGATATCACCTTACTATACATCCAACCAAGCAGTGGGAAGTGTGCGCCCAGCCGCGCACCGATAATATTCTTTCTACTGGTGACCGAATGTTCTCTAGTTAACCACAATGCCCAACAAACAGATTAAGAGCTACCTGGTCAATGACCAAAAAACGAACCCCTGTTAAAAATTTATTCATACAGTGAAGAGCTTTACTCATCAGTGACAGAATGTGCTACATTTGTAGAATTTTGTTAGCTGATATGTCCGTTTAGTGTTTCTCCCGTAGTTATCTATTCTAGGCACTATTTTGGGCTAAGTAGAATATACGTTTGGCATAAAATATGGACTTTGCCTATTTCATAAACCTCAAGAATGGCGAAACTATTCGAAAGATTTTTAGCCACCTTGTAACTAGTGCGTTCCGCTGAAAAAGCCCCAGATACACTTCGAATCCGCCGGCTACGATCAGGTTTGGTTTAGGATCCTCCCCTTAGCTAATAAGTTTCACGCTGTTTTGAGGTAAAAAAAAATAGGGAATTCAAACTACCCAAATGTCTCACCAACCAGGTTTCTAACGTCTGTTTGATAACGCAAAAAATTGTTGGTTACATATCAGTCCGTCGAGTTCATCAGTCGGCTTGTAAGCCATTGTCGGGAATCAAACCATCTTCACTGTGGAAAGCAATACTTTTACGCCACTACAAAGCACTTCGTCAAAAATAGCAAAGACCTCGGAGCAAAGTAGATTTTAGACGGACGAATAATATGGGCCTGTTTTGAAAGCAGTTGAGCGATTTTTACTTTTCCATCCGCACACAATTCTATATGGATATTGTTTCCCGGTTCTTTCTTTTTGTTTACGATTAGCAGCAACAGAAAATGTCATGGTCGGGTTTTTTGTTTATTAAAATTATTTATTTATTTATTTATTCATTTATTTACTTATTTATTAGAACGCAAACAAACGAGTGAGGAAAGAATCAAGTATTTCACTGTAACTTACTACTGTGGGGAGCGGAGATCAAGAAATTTCTCTTTTACATCCAGTTTCAGCTCTTCCTTTTTGCAGCCTGGAAGTTTGATTCGAGCCTGGATAAAACAGAACACGTTTTGGGGAAAAACGTTACGGTGAGAAGTTGACGTCTCTGACAATGATGTCTGTCCAGGCAGCCTTCACTCATTAGAAATAGATTATCGAAAGTGTACGCTATTTAAATGTCTGTGGCGAATGCTTTTGGTTTTTAGTTATCAAGCTTTTCACTGTGGCCCTACTTACTGTTTCAAAGGCACAGTTTTCCTCTCTGAGTATAATTTTAATGTGCCTCACAATGTGAGCTGTAGAGGAACCAGACAAATATCTAATAACCACGCACCGAAAGGGTATGAACGAACAATGGAAAACTGAAACACTCAGGGAAGCTATGCAAATATATGTTTTAAGTTGATCGCTTTGTAATCAGTACAAACCAGATATGGGCGTAACTGTCGTTAAACCGCACCACTCAAAATAGAGCGCACGTATAGTGTGGGGCGTTGTGTATACCAGTCATAACAGAGGTCGTATTGCAAGGCTACTTGTATGGGGTATGATGTACATAGGATGTGGTGAGTGACC